TTGTTGTGCTTCCCTTGAGACCATGAGCTACTTTCTCACCCAAGTGACTGATCACATCAGTAGTTGAAGGGACTCATTTAGCTTGTGTACAGTTGATTTCATTATGTACTGGATACACATTTTTAAAAATAAGGAGGCAGGTCTATGTTGTCTACTTATGTGTGTAAATATGAAACATGCTTATATTTCATAACTATTATAAGAAAGAATACAATTACATACTACTTCAATAAATTCATTTCCCTTAAATGTCCTCCTTCTGTCATACAGATACTACATATTGACAGCAAACCCATCTTTAGTAAGAACAAAATGTACTCTGGTAGTATCTCAGTTCAGTTTGATTATCATTGATTTAGATCATCCCTATAATCTGAATAATCAACTCACAACAGAGTAGAATAATGGAAAGAGGATAAATTTCCTTGTCTCTACCATTGAGTAAGAGTTAAAGAGAGCTTTTTTAGTCATTCTGTAGCTAACCTTTCAAAGAAGTTTCCAAGTACCATAAGAAGTAAAGTCTAAAAACTTTAACACCAACAGAATAAACCTCTTGTAAAAAAAAAAAAAAATAGATCCAAGGTGCCAAATGTTCACAAGTCATAACTTTTCAAATTGCTTTCGGTTGTAGGTATGTGTTCAATTACTAACTTGCCTGCATGCTTTCTCTCTCCATGTAACGAAGCAGAACTACTATGTAAGAGAAGTTTTTTTATGTTTATTTCCCTGCAGATATGAGTGAAAAACACATGACTTACTGGTATCAAAGTTTGAGTATCCTTTTCCTATAAGATACAGCAATCTTATCACATACATATTTATATTTTTATATACTAAATATATTGATATTGATATATATGATTTTTTCCTGCTGTGTTTCTCAGCAACAAAATTAAAGTTTTCAGAAATGACAGAATTGATTAAAACAAAAACTCCAAACCATTAACATTTTACTGGCTCAATAAAATATATATATATATATATTTATGTTATAGATCTTTAATATATATATATTTAATAAATAAAATACATGTATTTTATAGTTACCATAGGTGGTAACTATGCCAAACACACAGATTTCATATTAGTATCTGTTAATATCATACTTAAGTCAGACAAGTAAATCTCAAAAATTTATCTTACTTAACCTTCTTTTAATATGTGACTTAATAGTGTCAAGTGGGTGAAAATAACAAAAAATTCAGAGGGTGATTTTCCCAATCATAAAATAAAATTACAATCTTTAGATTAAAAAAAAAAAGAAATCATAATATTTTCATGTCTCTTTTTACTGAATTATATGCACATACATTTAAATATAAACAGTAACATACATATGTGATGATATATATATAGCATTTATATATACCCCCTTACACTAAAAAGACACTACAGATTTGGGCAATATAAGGGATACAATAAGACACAGTAGTGCAAGAAGAAGAATAATTTATGATGCCTCATCTCGTGAATCTCAACTAGTATTTGTAGCAGCAATGGTTTCATATATTCATTTCACAATCAAATATATAGTCATGAAACCCAAATAAAATGCCTTACATCTATCCCTTCCAGTGAAGTGAAAAGAAACAATCAAGCAATCTTTTACTGAGTTTGATAGGAGGATTAAAAATGTCTGCATTTGGCCCTGGCCAGTTTGGCTCAGCGATTAGAGCGCCGGCCTGCGGTCCACAGAGACCCAGGTTCAGTTCCCGCTAAGGGCATGTACCTTGGCTGCAGTTTGTCCTTGGCCCTGGTTGGGGCGCGCGGGTGGTGGCTACTCTATGTGTCCCTTTTAGGTCGATGTTTCTCTGTCTCTTCCTCTCTCTCTCTCCCTCCTGCTCTATCTGAATTAAAAATGGAAAAATGTCCTCGAGTGAGGATAAAAGAAAAAAATATCTGCATTTGACAAAATGATCATACAACCAAGCATTCCATCTTTATTGGGAAGAATATGTACAGATATTCATTTGATTCACACTTCACATCATAAACTAACCACTTTTCTAGAATCAAGATAAAGTTTATTTTTAAAATATGTTTTTAAAATGATATATAGGAAATTATTGTAGAGTAAGGATTAATACAAGATTTTCTTGAATAGGAAAACTAACACTGTCAAATTGATCGACTATAATTTGTTCCTTGATATTCTTATTTTAAAATGGTTGCTCTCCTAAATGTTAGTTTTTCATTATAAAAATATTTTTTTAAATTATTTTTAAATATATTTTTTTAAATCCACACCTGAGGATCTTTTTTAATTGATTTTTAGAAAGAAGAGGGAAGAAGTGGGGAGAAAGATAGAAACATTGATCAGTTTCCTCTGTATGTGCTCTGACTGGGAATCGAACCCTCCACCCTTTGGTGCACAGGACACTGCTCTAGCCAACTGAGCCACACCTGCCAGGGCAAGATTAAATTCTTGATATTCCAATTTTAATGCAATATGTATTCTTTGTCAATATTCATCACTATTTCACTTAGAAATCATTTACAATTAACTGCTTCAGTGTAGTTACTATTTTAAGGAAGGAGAAACTTTGTGGGAAGTCAAAAAAACAAATGCAACATACCAAAAAGTGTCATCTTTAGGTATCATGAGACATCTAATGCTAGATAAAAAGTTTAAATCTATACTATTAATCCGTAAATAGTATACATTGTTTTAAATAATTGTTACTTACTTTACAATAAAATCCAGTTCTTAAAAATCATGTATAAAGACCACAAGATAAGAATATCACTAACTTTCTTTTTAAAAATTAACAGTTAGAAAAACATATTTTTATAATAATAACTTTTGATCCTAAGCAATTTTTAAGTCTATTTGTAATTTTTTAAAATACAATAATAATTCATTCTTGTCAAAGTCCTTTTTATTATTACTCAGATGATAGCAAAGAAAGAAGTAAGAATTTGGAGATTATTTAAGAAAAAAAAAGACTAACAATCCTCAAATATCTGTACATCCAAAAAAGCATACATTTTGACAATTCATTACTAGTTTATCAGCTATAAAAATCAAGGACAATTTTAAGCCGTCTTCCAAAAATTAATGCCTTCACTACCTGAAGTCTGATTATACACAAACACACAAATTTGCCTAATATTTTGGCAAAATAACAATACAACTCCATAAATCACCCATATTAAAAATGTGAAATCAGAATTCATTAGGTGTTTTTATTCACACACACACACACACACACACACACACACACACACAGAAGCCTGTGGCAGATACATGAATCTTTATAAACAACTCTGCTAAGAATCAATGCCAAATATAAAAGTGAAAAACTTTTACTTCACTAGCACTTAGTTCATATCATTTGAATGGCAATATCCAACCCAAATTTCAGGTAGATGACTCAGATGGTATGCATGTAAGAAAAAGGCAATTTTCAGTATCTATAGACAATTCATAAACAAGAAAATGTGGCAAATTACTTTTTAAAAATAAATTTAATTAAAAACATTAAAATAAATATATAACATTAAAAACGGATGAAATCATTGAATGATTTTATAACAAGAAGTATATTACTTTGTGTAAACAATGAAAGTACACAAAATAATTTACTTAAAAGGTGAAACAATTATCTAGAGATACGCTGTGTAGAGATAGATACTGCATATCTCTAGATACTTTATGTGAAGATGATTTTCTTTAAACTATAATAAACATACCACACATACATACATACACAACATTAACAATCCTGAGCAATAAGATTCTTTCTAAAAATACTTCAAAAAAAATTATGTTTTGTTGCTTCGATTTTATTTCAATTAAAGCTGATAGAATGTATTTAAAATAAATTTTTTTTAGTTTTGACCTTATGCTATTAAGCACTATATAGCATAAGAAATCCCCTCAAGTAAATGACATAACTATAACATGACATAACTTATAACTATAACAAGAATAATTATAGCTGTCATATTTTCTAGCACTATTTTACATGACAAAAAATACTTCATGCAATGGTAATAATGTTCTATAATTTCATTTACTAAAAAAAAAAAAAAAGTTCTCTAGATCCCTGTAATTCTCCTTTAAACAGCTATGTTTAAAATAACTAAAATATCTCTGACATTTTGAAAGAAAGATAAGACCTTCTGAAATATATAAAATATGACCAAGTTCAGATTATAATTATGCACTATTTCTAATACTGATATTTAAATAAATGTGCTTACACTTCATAATAAAATGGAATACATTTTTCTTCTTAAGTGAAAAAGAAGTGGTATTTTCAATTCTAAAATGTTCATTCCAATTACCTAAAACCACGGATACCCTCTCAAGTCTAGCAAATTGCCTCTGGTATCTATTGTAGTAAAGAACCGGGTGCTCAAGCTAATCAAATAATCTAATTAACAGAGTTACTATATTTATAGTGCATGGGTTATTAATTTCCATAGAATTTAGGTTATCTGCTACTGAACATAATTTAGTTTTTATTGCTTCAAGAATTATTTTGTAATTTGCAAATGTCATCATCAAATCAATAGGCAAAATATCTGTTTAAAAAAGTATTCTGACAGAATACAAATAAAACAAGTTTTAGCTTTATCTAGATACAGAAATATTTCCAAACTTATACACTTCAAAGAAGATGGTTTAATTATTTTCCACTCTATTCTATTCTCTCCTCCTTTTTCATGCTTCTATTATAGAACTTACTCTTTTATATTAATACTCTTTTTTTATTATAAAACATTTATTGTAGTCCATAAGCTTTTGTCATTCTGCAATACATTTATTAGTTTCTCAAAACTATATGTAAAAGTTAAGTCATATATGCAGAAAAATGTGGAAGAATTTTTGGTTTTCTCTGGTGTGGATTTCATGAGATATTTTTTTGTTTGTTTTTTTTGTTTTTTTCCTGAAAAGCAATCAGTCTTTTTATTGCATTCCAAGTTTACTAAATTTGCACACTGGCTTAAGTCTTTTATATATATATATATAAATACTCTTAATATTTACTCACCCAACAGATATTTACTGATCAGCTCATGTGTCTCAGGCAATGTGCTAGGCTCTAGAGAGAAGGTAAATTATATAAATAAGATGCCTGCCCCAGATGAGCTTCAGTTTAGTGGGAAATACAGGCACATACTAAGGCAAATATGAAAGTGTATTCAAAGTGCTAGGATAAGTACAGCTGCTATGAAAGTCTATATATGCATGAGCAGGAAACAGATTGACGAATCTCAGCAGGAAGAGTGGTGGAGAGAGGTGGGAAAGATCAACCAAAGAACTTATATGCATATATGCATAACCAATGACACAGACAATAATGTGGTGAAGGCAGGGGATTGGGTAGGAGCAGGGAGGAAGGGGGTCATTGAGGAAAAAAGGAGGAGACATCTGTAAATACTTTCAACAATAAAGTAAATTATTTTAAAGTCTATATATGTCAGTCTGTCCCACATCCATATCAAACCTGTTCTCCACTACTTCCCAGCGAGTCTCTTCTAAGAAGTCAAGCTGTACTTTATTCCAATTTTTGTCCCATGTGTCTAACACTGTGTTTATTTAATTTGTTGAATATTTTGAATTATGTTTTCAGTAATGATGAAACACAGATCCTAAACTCTAAATACCTTCTGACTTCTTCAAACATATTATTATCATTATCTTATTTACTGCTTCTGAAAAAGCAGTTCTTTCTTAACAAAAGAATGCCCTTTATGGACTTCCAGGGTCCACTGTAATTTTCAAAATACGGTGCTGGATAAAAGCATCTAGTATTAGTGCACTTTAGCCTTGTGGCTAAGCAATGACAACAAAAGTCTGATGACATTTTACGAACTGTCCATGACTTCCCAACAGGAATGCCTGACAACGAAAACGTGCTAGTATATACTGACAACAGAAATTCTCCAGGACAACCTTATAAACCAAACTGCAGGTCAAATTGCTTTAACTAAGATATTCCTATCTCTAATATGATGATCAATATGTTCAATGAGACACTGTGGGCCACATGAATTGTTATGTAGATTACTCATAAAAAATGCTAGCAGGCATATTCTAAGTTACAAAATGCTCTTACTATATTCATTCTATTTCCTGTGCCTTTTCCCTATTTTCCATCGTTAAATTATTACAACCTTGTTCTGGCCAGTTTGGCTCAACAGTTAGAGCATCGGCCCATGGACCAAAGAGTCACGGGTTCCATTCGGGTCAAGGGCACGTATCTTGGTTGTAGTTCGGTCCACAGCCCCGGTCGGTGTCATGCGGGAGGCAACCAATCAATGAGCAATCGATTTGCCTCTCTCACATCGGTATTTCTCTCTCTCTCTCTCTGGCTCCCTCCCACTCTATCTGAAGATAAATGGAAAAATATCTTCAGGTGGGGATTAAAATATAAACAATAAATAAATAAATAAATAAATAAATAATTGCAACCTTATGCTCATCTTTGATACAAGAATACAAATGAAAAAATATTAATATCTATTCAGTCATTGCAGCAGGAAATTAGTGTCTATTCTGTTATTTTCTGTATGTTTGAGTTATTTTATTATTCACATTTTTTAATTAAACTTTAATCAAGCCAAAAAATGTGGCAGAATAGATGAAGTAAAAATAGCAAATATTGATAATTTTTGAAGTTAGGACAATGGGTGCATTAAGAGCTCATTATATTCTCTACTTCTGTACAATTTTGAAATGTTTCTATAGAAGATATTTTACCAAAAAAAAAATGGTTGTCATGAAAATACAAGAAAAAAATCAAAATCTGACAGTTTTCAAGCACCATAAAAATAGAAATATGTTTTCTTGTTGCTATTGTTGATATGGTACAAGGTAATGAATCAGTGAAATGTAAAGTTATTCTGATGAAATAAATCACACAGAAAAATATTATCTTATTTGATAAACTATTTGGAGCAAAGGAATATGCTTCAGCATGCTATACCACCTCTTTCAGTCTCTCTCCCTCTCTCTCTCTCTCTCTCTCCCTCTCTCTCTCTCTCTCTCTCTCACACACACACACACACACACACACACTCAAATGCATGTTCCCCCTAAAGTGAAAATTCCTGCCCTGAAAGAACCACCTCACACCTTGAAGACAAATAATAGTCAAATAAAGCATAACTCAGTGAGTTACCCAGTCCTAATCAGATAAGTTTGTAATGCAAGTTATCTTGAACAGAGGGTCCCATTATGTTCAACTACTCCACCTGGACACCATGTTTATCATGTTGAATGACAATATGGAGGAATAGAAAGTACACTGAAGTAGGTAACAAGTGATCTACATTTTTACTTCAACTTCCCTTTTATTAACTACTCAACACATTAATCATTAATTTCCTTATTTCGAGAATAGGGTAAAAATATCTGTCCTCCTTCCCACTCCAAGTTTTTATGATACTCAAATAATGTATGTGAAAGCCTTTCACAAACTATAAAGTACTCTGTACAATTAGAACATTAGTAACTTAACATACTAAGACCCAGAGAAATCTTGGTGTATCCATTTATATAAACTAAAAACCATTATATAGTTGACCCCACATGGAGAAGCTTCGTAGGGCCTTGGGTACCATCAGAGGGTTCCAGAATTTCCCACTGATTCTGAAATAGCGAGCAGAGAAGAAAGACGTGTTGTAAATAAAATTTAAAATGTCTCGAAGCTCGTGTACATTGAATTGGCATAAAAAAGGAGAGAGAGAGAAGCAGAGAAAGTGAGCCAAACTTCCTAGCAACAGTGCCTCCCACCTTCATATATACCCTTCAGGTTTCATGGTGCCTTTCATACTTTTGTTTATTCATTATTCTGACCTTACCTGAAAAATGTTCAGGAGAAGGGGTAGAGAAAAGGCAGAAGTGCAGTGAACTTTCCCAAGGGTGCATTATTTCCCAGGACTGGCCTTCATTCAGAAAGTTGTCTTCAGGCATACCCAATTTCTTCAAACCCTTGCTCAAATGAAGATTATACTAAGACTTCATCTATCAACACCTTGAATTTATAAAGTTATCCTACTATGGGTCAGCTACTGAAACACTCCATTCAATTTCTGTCCACAACCTGGTACACCTGCCCTTTTGATATGTTTTTTAGCCCCATTTATCATCGCCAACTGCGTAACGATGTTTTGTTGGCTTTGTTTGAGTATTAGATATACTGAAAAAGTAGTTGTCAGAAATGTTTATCAAAGTGGAGAGTGCACATGTAATCTAAAAGCTAGAATTGTTTTTCAAACCTCTTTAAGGACTGCTATGCATCTATTCTTCTACACATTTCAGGAAGATATTTTAGGACTCATTCATTCACTTATTCATATACTAAGAAACATGTATGAGCATATACTATATGTAAGCCTATGAGGGTTTTTCAGTGGTATACCAGGCAGTGAAGTTTCATAATAGTTCACTTATCAAAAAGTACAGCCTTGATTCCTCATACTACATGATGTCTCTACATAAAAGTTATCCTTTAACAAAAGGAACATATTTTATATAATACTTTTCTTTTCCAGAACACATCCAGAGAACCATGACTCTGATTTGTCTTACATGTATTTCTGATCTCTATGAGACAAATCATACTTAACATGAATACATCCAAAGTATAATTTTCTACAAATTAAAATGAAGCTAATTTTTTACCTTTGCTTTTAAAAAATTCCAACCCAAAACTGATGTTTATTTAAAGGTAAGATAAAATATTATAACAAATTCTTAGCATCGAAAGTCTTTATATCAATGGGTTTATTTAAGGGGGGAAATAAGTAATGGCACCAAAACAAACTGCAAGAATTAAAACAAAAATTCTAATCAATCAAGAAAAAAGTTTCCATTAACTATTCATATAGTTAAAAACAATTATTACTCTCTACTAAAATCAGTTATATGAAATATGATTAACACTGTTCTCAACATTTTTAAACAAGATCATCTAACAGTTATTGGAATAAAATATAATTCTATTTCATACAACTATCAGGTTGTGTGAATGGAAACTGAGGTGTGATGCAACTAGATCTGAAGTAACAAGTCTGGCATACTTTGGAGGCTTCTAAAATCTCTTTGAGCATGGCTACATCAGGATATTCATCTTTTAAATAGCTAAGGTTTTCAGCAGGCAGTAAATAATGTGAGTTGGAAAAGAGCTGGGGTGTCTCACTTTTATCTTTTTAATCAAGAGTCAGATTGCTATGCCTAAAGACATTTTCCTTCTTCAACTTAAAGAAATGAACATGTCAGATTAGATAAATCACTAGACAGCTGCTAACGAAAACCCTAGGTGTGCCTCTTAATTTACGAAAGCCCAGATGCATTCAAATCAAAGAATAAGAGTTCATAAATGACAAGCCCCCTAAAAAACTTTCTGGGTACACTTGGTCTTTACTCAGATCCTATCAGTTTTGTCTCTGACAAGCCAGTCCTGGATTTAAATCCATGGAAGAAGTAAACGCAGAAGCGGATTGGCCCAACAGGAAAATGGGGTAGATCATGGACCTAAAAGTCCAGCTGAATACTCTATGCCAGAGAACACCAGTACTCATCTTCCAGGAAAGAATACAATGAGTGAAATGGACTGCATGCATTGCCACAATGGCTGTGATGGAAGCTGAGGACTAATTACAGTGATTAAACATAAAATCTTGTCACATAATTTTAATAAAGCACACAACTTGACATTTCCTATACCTTTGATGATTTCCAATGTTTCAATTTCAATTGCTATATTCACTATACTTGTTTCAGTTACTACCTGCAGAACAGAGCACGTCCACCCAGATGTACCGTCTGCTGCAGGATCAAGAAAGTGTGTTCCTCTAGGGCCATGAGTCTTCACTTCTGACAAACAACCAACACACAGTAAGATCTCTCAAGATTTGGAGTGAAAACAAACAGCTCATAATCAGATGGCAAATAAAACAGCTTTCATTTTTTCTTACTTGGTGAATTATTTCCATCTGAAACTTTTAAAATCACCCATTTTTATGACACTTTTAATAGTAATATTTGAGATTATTAGCATGATAAACTTCTCACCTATTCATCTTTTACTTTTAAAAATCTGCTCATGTTATGACTAACACCTTGGCATTCAAACAAATACTATGCTGAGACAGAAAAAATAAAACCTGTATAAATGACAGAGTGTTCAACCATGAACACATTGTCTTTTATGAATATTATAATCACAGAATCAATAAGCCTACAAAGAAAAAACAGGACACAAAACGTGTTTTGTCATTTCTGACGAAGTTATAAAAACAACAGACATTCAATATGCCAAGTGTTCTTCAATCCTTCATAATCATAGCCTTATTGAAGTGAGGACAAAAAGGGTCTAATTGCATAGGAGCAATCTCAATGTAATAGGTTATACACCCAGGCACTGCTGCACAATACAACAAAAACAACGTTCCCTGTGTATAGCAGAATGTCATCTCTCATTTTCAGGCAATTACCTTCTTTCTTGTCAACAGTTTTAATAACCTCCATCATCTCTAAAAGACTTTTGCTTCAGTTAAATAATTTTCAGCTTTTTAATATGCAAATGTGCTTGTTCATATGCATGGGTGAAGTGGCACTGCTACTTGAAATGTGTCAGTACATTGTGGAGCACCTGCACCTCGGGGAAGCTTGATTTAATTGACACCTAATACTATTCATTATTCCACTTAGTGAGCAACTCCTATTAGTCACCTGTAGGTTTTCCTATAAGCAGTGCTTTGGCCACCAATAAAAATATGAATATTTCTATAAATAGAATGTCCATATTTAGTAAATGAGGTTCACTACTGTCAGAGCCTTGGGAGAAGAAATGAAGGGTAGTATGGAAGCAATCGTTTTTTCAGCAAGAAATGTATAAACTTCCTCTCATTTTTTCTATAGATGACGACATATATAAAAAGTTGCACTGTCTGGTTAAATACAAGATGCTGTGTTTTCCTATATATGGCTCAATAAGTAATATCCTGCTCAATGGAAGGGAGAGAGAGAGGGATAGATGGATGGACAAACAGACAGATAAATGAAATAATGAATAAACAATCAAGCAAACAAACCTACTTTCTAAAGTATACCATCAGTTTTTTTTTAAGTCACAGTGTTCCTCATTCCAGTGACTCCAGGCTAAAGGTGTTAAACTAAATCCTTTATGATTTTACATGACCTATATATGCCACAAAGTTACAAAGATAAAGGCAGAATCTTGTCAATAAACAAACATGTATTGATGTTACCTTCTGAGGTAAATAAATGGCTAAGAAATGTTATTGTGAGGCATGTGGGGTAAACAACTTTAAAATATCAGCTGGGAGAATTATAACACATAGGATTTTGTGTATTTGTTGGTATTAATGTAATTAACATGTCCTGTAAATGATTACAACTTAAATCTATTAGTCTTTTTGCCTTTATGAAAATGAAAGGATTAACAATGAAGCACATACTCAGGCTTGACAGTATTGGGGATGCTTCTTTACCACATGGTCCATGACCTTATCATCCGGGCCGCATTTCTTTCTGGCATTAATGCATTTGTTAGTCCCAGAAGGCTTAAACTACAGATGTTTAACATCCTGCTTATGGACAGATCATCTGGAATACGAAGTGGGAAATCTATACTACTTATTAGTATATATTATGAGTGTAACGGAGAATTAATAGCCCATTCAAACAAGATTAGTGAAACCATAGCTCAGGAAAAAAAGTATCATCTTAACAGAGATATGCTCTCAAACCTGCAGGGGGGAAAAAAGAACTAAAACCATATTTTCAGCTGGAATATGTTTTAAGACATCAAAAGAATTTGTCACTAATTAATGTTGTTTATATAGTAGCATAAGAAACATTAATTACAGCATTCAATGTAAACTTAAAACCTTTTTATGGAAAGGGGATTTATAAGTAAGGTGGTAATCTGGTTCTTTGGAATGCTTATCTATAACATACTGAAAGTGATCATAAATCATGTTAATGTCTAAGATCCAAAGAAAAGTGAGGTGATAGTGGGAAAACATTGAGTTCTTCTAACCCCCAGATCCAATCATTTCCAAAGAATAAGGGAAAAAAGGAAAATGAAAGCAGTGGTCAACTAGACCTTTGTTGGTATCCCCCAAAATGTAATCTCTAAACTGAAGAATGGCAGCTGGCAGAACAGCTGGTGAATAGGATTAATGTCAGAAGAAAGAAATAAAACTCAACATATGTCCAAGCCTGCGGTGCTGGGACTGAGCATGATTATACCCCGACGGATAGGCTGAATACAGCTGGAAAGTGCCACTGTGCCATGCTTCTCTACCCCACAAGGTCATTGCTAAGAAGTGCAGCTAATGTCTGAACAGCAAATTTAACTTTGACTGAAGAATGCAGTAACTGGGGAGGAGAAAGGAAACCCAGATTTGTATCCGTACCCATGTGCTGAATAGTTTAACCTTCAGTGCTTGGTTTGCTACACCACAAAGCAAACCAAAAGACAGATCAGCCTTGAACCTAACAGATTGCACTAAAGTAAATATAATTTTTAAATCATTTAAACCGCTTAATCTCGTCTCAATCACATCAAATATGTTAGAGCAAACATATTTCCATCTTTCATTTAGAGTTTAAATAGGCACAAAGGAAAAAAATCTAATTAAATAGAACAGGAGATTTGGTTTTATAAATTGCCAATGCTTTTCAAAGTTAATATTTTAAAGTTACTTCATCACAATTAGCAAAAATATTTTAAAGAAGCAGTTTTTCAAAGCACAACTACCATGTTCTCAAACTGAACATGAGGAAGTTACAGCTTTCTGACCTATCTCCATGTGGTTGTTGGCCAGCGTTTTGCCTTTTGTAACAGTAGATGAGAGACACTGGAATTTAACCGTTGGAACTAGTTACAGTGATAAACAGTGACCACGTGGACATTACTGATAGATGAGAAAAGGCTTTATTTATAGAGAATAAATTCTATCCAATTGTTTCCTTATTTAAAAACCACATTTTAGAAAGAGATCAGTAATCATTACTAAAAGAGTATTGCTGCACTTACTTCTGCCCCTTACTTCTTTCAGATGCTTGAGCTAACTTGAGCTCAACGATTGATCAGATTATCTTCTTGTCTAAAAACAACTAACACTCTCACCATATTCTTTGGACAATATACCCTTGAGTGGGGGCGGGAGTGGTGGGGGGGGATGGAGAATTTTATGATAAAGGAGAATGGAGTTGTGACTCTTAAAGGCCTAAGGGCACAGCTACACAGCCTCAAAGGAAATCCTGTGAAAATCAACCAACAAACAAAAATCCACCCAAATAACCACTCTCTGAAGAAGTTACATTTTATTTCTTATGTCCAGTGTTGGCAGGGGGTTCGTCACAGTGAGATAGGGCCAGGCCCTGTATCTCCTATGCTTGCATTGTTCGGAGGCTGCCAAGAACCCAGAGCAGGGTTATTCTCTGCAATCAAATGTAAACTTATCACCCACTTGTTTAATTTCCTTTTCTCTCTGTACATATAAACTAATCACTAGTTTATACACACATTATAGCAGACTCAATAAAAAAAAGAAAAGCTCTGGAAATTAGGAAAGAAAACTTCAGGAGTTTTTTAGGTAAGCATGCTAATGGTTTGAAATTCAAAGGGGCAATCGACTGATTTTCTTTCTTAAATGGTTCTCGAAAAAGTGTGGTCAAATTATGAGAGCAGCTTCTTCCCAGGTGAGACACACATTGAGACTTCCACGTAACACTTGAGATAATCCATAAGGATAGAAAATTGTCATATGTTTATTGTTTTGTCCAGGAATTATCATTTTTCAAAGATCTGATCTTCAATTTGCATACATGATAGGTTTTACTTAGATCTAGGAGTAAGTGACAACTTCCAATGCCTGTGGGCATTTGGACAGTTTAATTTTATTTATAATTTTTTACTCACACTTTTAAAAGTCTCCTTGGTATTTGGAAATTTTTAAATGTTAATCTGGTATAGATTACAGCTCTATGAAATCTCAAATTGTCCTACATTAAATGTTTAACACGAAGGAAATCTAGTCATTTCTGGAAAACTCAAATGCTAGAAAAGTCTGTCTATTATCCAAATAAATATTTAAATGAAGTTGCCAATTTTAATGCCGTTATAATGGCTACTACCATTTTATAAAATTCCAAGATTGCATGCTTTAAGGTTTAATGGCATTCAACATTTTTTAGAATCTTTAAATGCTGAAAAAAATGTTTATATTTGTCATTACAGAATATGGAAAGAAACCCACATAGCTTATTAATGTCTTCTGAATTGTTTAAGAGGATTTTAAGATATGAGTTAAAAGAATTTCATAATCTTAATTTCAATTTCTCCTTTTCATTTAATAGTAGACATTCATTAGGACCACACACTGTAATAAATTATAATAATTTCAAACAAGAATTAAATTACTAGGTACCTATTGAAAGAGCCATTTTTTCTTAGGTACCCTGTAATCTAACTGTCAGATTTAAAATCTATTCCCAATCAACTCTTCACAACATTCACATTTATTCATCTATGTTAAATTAATAAAAGGTGTGAATAATACTGACAAAATTGATCATTATTGTTCATGTAGATTTAGAAAATTATAAGGTAATCTAAAATGTAAAAGGAATTGAGAGAAACTATTAAGGTTCTTATAAATAAATTCACCCTATGCTGTTTTTTCAAATCAAGACTGAAACTTCTATGAGACTTATTTAAATTGACTATACAAGCTATTGATAAATTGTACATTTTTAGAACATAAACCATTTTCATTATTTTTGACAAATATCAGTATAAAGACTCTACTTTAATATTAGGATTCAACAAATTCTTTAGG